GTCCGAACGCGACATTTTTCGTGTGACAATAATAAGTCTGTAATATATATATTGACTACATTTCTTTTTTTTTTGTTCTTATTTTTGAATTTTTAATTTGATATCTCTTCCAATTTACATTATCGTTATTACAACGCCGATTTTCAAAATATTTTTTTTATAATTTTTTTCAAAATGACCAAAAACAACGGAAAAACTATTATTAATGTTTTTGGAAGAGAAGAACCACTTATTAACGATAACGTTCTTGAAAGAGAAAAACCACGTATTGGTAGATGCTTTGCAAGGGTGAGTAATTTAAATAATTATATATTTAATATCAGTTTTTAATTTTTTTTTTTTTTTTTTTTTTTATATAATTACAGCACGTTCGGCGTTTTCTCCGTTATAATGCACGAAACGTTAGAAACCGAACCATATCCTTGAAGAAACGAATTATAGTTAATGAGCAGCATCAAAGGTTCAAAATAAAGGGACTCCGTATGAATGTATGTTTATTACAGATTCACTTATTTTTACCGATTAACCTTTATTAAAATTTTTTTTTTTTTTTGTTGCAAGTCTACCACTAGATACAAAACATACAGAGTCCATATATCAAATATGCCAAGATGCTCCTGCCAAGACTTCGAAAGGTATAGATCATGCGAGCATATGGTACGTATATTTTAGGAAACGCATGAATGAGTTTTATCTTTTGAAATTGACTAATACTTTAACATTTGTAAAATTTAAGATATATGTATATTTAAAAGTGTTGAGAAACAACAGATACATATACCAGCGTGGTCTTTCGGATGAAGATCTACGTAGGCTTTTTGGCAATTAACGTAAGTAAACGTGTGATTTATGTTCTGCGCCATAATATGGTAAAATTCCTTTTTTACTTATGCATAAATATTGTTATTTTTTAGAGCAGTTTAATTTTATTTTATTTTTTTTTTTTTAATACAATTATTTTTTTCCTTTTATTTTGACGAATATTTTGTTATTTTTTAGAGCAGTTTATTTTTTTTTTAATAAAATTATTTTTCCTTTTATTTTGACAAATGTGATATTATATAAGAGTTTGATTGAATTGTTTCAATGATATGTGTACCATTATTATTTAATATAAATGAACAAAAGTATAAGGATTACCAAGACAAATTGATTTTGCTTTAACAAATTAATACAAAATTTCGTTAAATATTCTAGTGACATTAAATATCTCTTCTTAAAATAATAAATGAACCAACAAATTGCATTAATTGATTTCCGTCCATATTTTACCACCTACCTATTGTATATTTTCCAAGTTTTAAGCATTGTTCCAACTAAGGGATGTTAAACGGTCGAACAAATTTAGTTATAGAAAAGTCAGATCAATAAGTAACTCTTGTTATAACAAATTATATTAATAATTTTTATTAGGAAAACGAACTTTCATGGGACCGTTAAGTTGGGACCCAGTACTAAATTTCAAAAATAAAGGTTCTGAATTTTATTATAAATGTTCCATTAATACATTAAACAGTTATTGGGACTTTTAGGACCGTTTAATATCCCGAGTTCCAAATGTTACAACCATACTAAACATTATCCCTTGCTCATTGGTCTATAATCTTTTATTTCTGCTAATAACTGCATCATGATCCTCATCCCCTTTGCCAACAGCAATCTTCATAATTTAAATTTCTACTGTTATACATATCCCTTTGCCAACAGCTTCTTCATAATTTAAATTTCCAATGTTATATCTGAAGGTTATTGTTCAACGTCTCGATATCATTAACATCAAGACTAAATAAGCTTTATAATATTTAGTCTTGATTTAATTATGTTTTGCGTATGCTTCGAAACATTTATACGCAGCACTTGTTTAACTTGATCATTTCTGATGATTTTGACCATCTTCCAAGCGTCTAATTTCTGTCAGTTACTATAATTATTAAATGAATTTAATTATTTATTAGTAAATTTATAAAACCTTAAGTTTCTCAACGCTATGATATTTAAAATGTAATAGAAGACTATCTTCGAACACGCCCAATTCTTGTATGGTTGGTTGTCGCATATTATTGTGATAAGTTAAATTAGTTAAATTGAGTTGTAACATTTTTAATAGCTGGTTTATTTATATAAAGTCCGAAATTTTTTTCGTCTTAGATTTATGCAAACGAGTTATGTCAACCTCAATTTTAGATCAGTATGATAATCAATTCGTACTACATCTGAGATTTGCGAAATAAAATTTTGATTCTTTTACGCGTCTTTGCGTTTGAATTTTTTTATAAAATTTTAAATTCTTGATGTATAAACGAAATATGTATTATATTTTATAATTACCTTGTATTAATGAGTCAATTTTTGAAGATTACTAAAGATAGTAATTTTTTGGATTTAGGTGACACAACGAACTATGGATACATCGTTCTTGTAAGTTTAGTTATTTTCTTGTTGATAGATTTTCGTTTCTTATTGTTTTCGTTTCTCTTATTTGTTTTATTACAATTTTAACAAGAAATTGGAACTTTTATATTGTGGAATTGGCTCGCAAAACATTCGCAACACGTGATCTACGCCTGATCGATCAGGGTCATACGTTATACTCCGGATTGTGATGTAAGATTTGCGAAGCTTCATACAGGTGCACAGTTAGTGGATCTAATATCGCATTTGTTAAAGACACTTCTATTTGGTTCCTGATGAATCTGTTTCAAAATGGCTTTTGCAAAAAGGATGGTGCTGAGTTTCAAGATCTAGTTGTAGAAACTTTTGTATCAGAACCAAAAACTGTTTTCGACTCTGAAAATATTTGTTAAACTAGCTTAATGGATAATTGTTCAGATGCATAAGCTTATTATATTGGAAATTCTGACGCTTATCATGTAATTATTTCTGGAAAAATATCATATGTTAACTATTGATTCGTTAGGTGAAGACTATCAAGAGTTTAAGATGCTCTCTTTAACCTGATTCAACACTTACCGCACATAGCGTCCGTTGCTACATACTCAAAAACTATATATAGAAACGATGTTCTATCAATGTTATTGGCTAATCAAGATGCATATGAAACAGAACCTGAGACTGATGAACAGATTCAAAATTATTTTTGAGGATCATTCGCAGAAGGTATGAAGATATTAATAAAGCTGGTGACATAATTTGTATGCTCATTCAATTGATTTATTAAATTGTAAATAACTATCCCGAAGACGATATAATATTTCAACCATTTTTATGTAGATCCGCTTATCCACCGGACCTTCAAAACATTAATACACATGAATTCATGTTCGTACAGTGCATATATACAAGAAAATCTATCAAATGAAATTAAGATGAGACGATTAGATGGTCTGAAATAATAAAATTAGTTGCGAAATTCCTGCACTAGAAATTTTAGACGATGGATTTTTAAGTGTTATGTAGTGATGTGTTAGATTCAGTTTGAGATGATGCTGCAATTGACGCTATTGTAACCAGTGGACCAGATAGCATTGGAACTTTAACTTTTACAATTGGAAGTATTGCAACTGAATGGTAATTAAAAAATTTTTATATTCAGTATAATGTATAATGTTGTGCTTTTATCATAGGGTTAGACGGCGTCATTTCACCAACACATCATTATCCATGGATGCCTGATAAAGAAAATCTTACTTTGAAATTTTATCTGATTTATTTATTAATTAATTGTCGGATGGTGTTTTCCGGTCATTTCCGAAGATTGGCTACTTGGATGAAGGCACACCAATTCATTTATCATCTGGTATTTATTGAATAATCATGTGTCAATTGTTATCTATTATGCTATTATTCCGATACCTTCACTTTGAAATGCTTTCTGATATTTAAACAAACCATCTTCAGCACCAAAATTACATGTGTATAATAACAACAGAACAGAGCAATAAGATCCACAAAGATGGCAAAGGTGGTAATTGGAAATGGTATAATAATTTTTTTAATGTTTTATAATAATTCACGTGATTTATAATCTTAAAATTTTAATTCTTTTATATTTTTAATTTTTTTTTTAAAAAAACAAAAACCTAGTTCGTAGAGATAAATATGAGGATAAACCATTGTCAACTATTTTGTATCTATGGAAGGAATTGTACTTTTATACTTTGTGAGTTTCGGTTAAAGATGATGATGCGGGAATTACTGTTTGCAAATACAAAAATTATAGATTTATTGTACAAATAAGGGAATATGAAATTACAAAATTATAGCGTTATCAAATGGTAAGTTGCAAATCGATTTTTAGCTTTAATTCTTAAATTTTACATAAATAATTTATAATTTGTTTTCGTATTCGTTCCTTTAAATGCTTAAATATAGATGACCTTTGATTGATAAAGCCGAAATTACAACTACTGGAGCTTATAAAAACGAATACGAACGTCCAATTCATGATCTTTGGGCTCAAGTTTTTCCAAACCTGCTTAAACTCATATTGTTGTGAAAGTTTCTTTGATCTTGGTGGACATGAATTAAGGATGACTTGTGATGTTAAAATATCTCTTGGAATCATCTTAATTATCTTTGCGATCGGCTCGTAATTATGCCGTGGTATGAACTTGTGTATATGCATTTTCTTTATATACTTTTTCGGATTTGAATTAAATTTTAATTATGCGGATTTTTGGAATTATTTGGACGTTAAAACCGCTTCAGCGCTTTCACATCAAATAAACCTTTCTATTTTGTTAGTTCAACTTTTACATGAACATTATACCGATTTAAGTGATTCTACCATTGAAAAAAAAAATAATGATTTAAGAGGGTAGTATAATAGGAATTGATTTTTTTATTTTGATAATAAACACTTGATCTAGATATAACATTATATGTCTTCAATCAGAAGGAAAATACAAGATACTTTATATAAAAATTTACAATATTAAATTATTATTAAGATTAAATGTTCTAATTTTTCATAATAGTACTAACACTAATGTTGAAAACAAATTAAATTGAAATAGATTTGAGATTTTAGATTTCCTTTAGAATTAACATTAAAAGTGTCGAAGAATCTATCCTTATCTTCATCAGATATAGCGTCGCTTGCATCGAAGATTATTTTGCCATCCGTATCGATTGACAAATGATATATCAGCAACCTTGAGCGCCATCTTCATCAACCATTAAATTGCGGTAAGGAGCATCATTAATATCTGATATAATAATTGTCGGATGATTTGTTTGAAATTGTTGTTTGACAACAACATAATTTTCATGTTTCTTAAACATGCGATTTGATATAATATCACCAAAACTCATGTTCATGTTGAGTTTTGGATGATTTTATTGTTTTCCATAAATATCCAACAATTTTTGGATAACGTTACTTTTCTCGTTCTTTCAATCATACCATCTCGATTTAGCAGAAATATTCTTTTGGAAACTCTTTTCGAAACATGTAAACGTTTTTTCAGTAAAGAGATATGTTATTTCTAGTTTCTGATTATTTCTATTGTGAGTGTTTTTAATTTTGAAATGGAGTTGAAAAAGGGGTATTGTGTTTAGAACACCTTTGAAAAGCTTGGAAGCATATTCACAACCACGTGATATGACCCACTAGTCTTATGGAGTTACCATTGGACCATTATAAAGAATCGATCATCAAAAATCAAAATTACTTTCCGCAAAACTTTTTTTTTTCGTTTTTTTAAATCTTTTCTTTTACACACGTTCAAGTCTTCAAGCCCTCGTTTTATTTTACCCTTTTGAATTTCTTTCAACTTTTTCAACTCTTTTTAACTCTTTTTAACTTTTAATAAATATACATCGTAGCTCTAACGATGGAGAATGATTATAAAGAAGTGTCTGCTATAA